TATATATATATATATGTACTTTATATATATATATATATACTTTATATATGGGTCAATGACGTAACTCTCACTTTTGTCTGAATCAATAAAGTTATTAAGAAATACATTAAAATGCAACAATTCATACAAAATTACTTTAATGCATCCATCAAAGCATAGGTCTATACGACGATCATGTCTTTCATTTCTGTTCAGGTTAAATGGAGTAATCCTAAAAATACTTGCCGAGATGCATAAAAAACTTGAATCATGTTTGAAACCTTCAAAAATACACAAGTGTATTCAGTGTTCAAGTAAAGTATTTTAGTACATTTGACTTGATGGTTATCTTGAATTTTTTTGAGTAAAATTTTTTTTATAAAAATGTATGCAATCAGCAAGATAACTTAGTACTACATGTGTTTTAAACTAGATTTTCAACATATTCTTTTTAACTTCAGAGATCCTTATTTGCCTTATTGGCTCAAATAGTAGTTTAAGGCTAAGAATGTTAAACCGGTTATGACAGAACAAACATTGCATGTTTCATTAACTTCAGAACCTGATTTGAGAGTCGTGCCAACCCTGTTTCCAAGATAAACATTATATCAATAAAAAATCGTTTTGAGTGTGCGTGCGTAAAGCGCGCGTGTGCGTTTGTTTTGTGTGGATATCACTTTGGGCATTGGTGTCTAGTTTTACAAAAAAAAAAAAAAAAGTAAAATGTATTTGCTTTGAACAACTTAAAGTGAACAAAGTTCATATCAGTCTTTTTGACATGAGACCGTGTTGCCAGTGTCACTTGAAATTGCGTTTCATCTATTTTAGACTTAAAAAACTTCAAGTTGCTCAGTCAATTATTGCAGTGTCCTTAAGTGACACCTTCTACTCTAATTTAAAGGGTCACAAGACGCCTTGGGCATTTCAGAACATAAATGAACTGGCAGTCAAGTAGGCCCATAGGAAAACGAGTTGTATTTTATGGGCTAGGCACGATTCATGCATGTCTGCAGAAATCAAATTCTCTTGAAATGTCGTAACAAGGAATAACGTTTCAGAATGGATAATTTACATAAATTTTACTTTTGCGGGCACAGAGGTTTACTGTACTTAAGGTTTTACTTTTCATACGTTGTTTACGTTTTTCATAAACATACACAAAGTGTGGCCTACCTGTGCAGTGCTCAAAAAGTAAACTTTATTTAGCCTAATATAGTATTTTAAATTAGTCGAAGCTTGAGTCTTGCTTTTCTTCTTCCTCGAAAAAGCTGCAAACTCCCTGAACTCTGAAGCCAAATGTTTAACCTTTCGAGTTCCTCATCAGACACTGTTCGGTCAGAGCCAATAATGATAATAGCTTATAGTTTAGGCTATACTCTCAGTAGACCTGCTGTTGGTTACTCTTACATTTAGGTGATTTGATTAAACATTGTAGTTAAAGACTTGCTTCCTTTCCATCACATGTAACTTTGTCTGTTTGCCGTCAATTGGCAGCCTTTTTTGAGAAACATCTGAGTGCAATTTAATAAAATTTATATAAAATAACGTCTTTAAAAAAAAATAAAAAATCGAATGGGTCAGTATATTAAAGTATTGATCTGTACATAGCACTGATTATGTTTACCCTATTTAAAAGAATGAATATTAAGATTTTAATTAAAAAGGCAAAATTTATAATGGAAATTGGTTTATTTAAATTTTTAAAAGCGCGATTTAAAATGTTTTGGGGCTATTAATTTGCCTGTTTCTGAAGCATAATTTACGACAATGAAGAATGAAGCTAAATTTATATAAATTTCCTACATAACCGCAAACTTTAAATCTCACAGTTGAGATATTAATTTAAAAAATATATATCTGTAGGCTATAAATATGAGATTGCATGATTTTATCTTCAAGCGTTTTAACACAAATTAAATATTATCGTAGGCTATAGTATACTGTTACCATAATTATTTTTCCTAAAAAATAATAATTTACACTTTATTTATTCCGTAATTAAAATAACTTTTCATCTGCGTGGTAGAACTCTATAAATCTAAATAAAACTCTATCTCTATTAATAAATATAGATGCTACTTATGTGGTAAAGTAAGCTCTGTTAAACGTTATTTTAACGAGTTTTACTCTTTTCCAACAAGACGTCTCCAAAATCCACATGTCCTCGTGTATTTGCTGGCACCTTTGAATGCAGTCGCGTATTTTGGATCCTTCGGACTTTGGTCGCTTGATGCAAACGCTCTTTTTGTTTCTCCCACAAAATAGCTTCTGAGGCAAAAATACCGACTTCTGCCCAACTCTCTAAAAACAAGCAGACTTTGTCCTAAATATTTTCACTCTATTTAT